AACTAATGTAGGGGCCTTCATAGTTAGAATAGGGGTTTTTGGGGGGGAGTTCCTTAAAGGTTACTACTAAAAGGGCTACTATAGGGGTTTAGGATATAGGGGCCTGAATAATTAGAATAGGGTTTTGGGGCCCATTATTATACTATACTTATAATAAGGTGCCCCCGGAATAGTATAGGCAATTACTCAGGCCCCTACATTAACCCTAAACCCTAAACCCTAAACCCTAAACCCTAAAACCCTAAACCCTAAACCCTAAAACCCTAAACCCTAAACCCAATAAACCCTAAACCCAATAAACCCCCGACCCGTGTCTCGGCCTTCTCCGCCTCCTTCTTCTGGGCTTCCGCGGCCGCTAAGAGTCGAACATACTCTTCGTCCTGGCCAAGCCCCGGGTTCACGGTTCGGGATTCGGGATCTCAAACCGGTGTAAGGCTACCGCTGCAGTGGCTCATCTCAGGGACTAGCCAGGGCTTTGAAGTCAAGAGCTTTCTGTGGTTCGAAACCTTCGGAAGCCGGAAGTGATGTTGTTGCATAATTCTGCGGCGTGCGCCCGGAACCCTAGATCGATGGCTTCCTTGCACAAACGCCGTGGCCCTTAGGTCATCCCAATCCCCATCACAAGGATGCCACACACAGCTCATGTACCTGCGTATGAAGTGTGAACTGTCGCATGCACAACATGCTAAGAAATTCCTGAAACAAATGTCGACTCGAACTCCTGCGCTCACATATCATTATCACATATACGTGTACATATGTAAACAAATGTCTGAGCGAATCTACATGTTTATACAGATGGCTGCATGACTACATGGTCGCACAGATTAGCAATGCCGTCTCACAAATATGCCTCTCGCAGACGTAGCATGCAGAATGAGCCAGAGCACGTGCAGACTTTCATGCGTTACTGATCAGCTGCAGACATACACAAACACTGACAAAGAACACACGAGTACGAGTGACGGACAGGGCAAACAGGGCACATGGATTCAGATGGTAATTAGGAGACTCCAGGTCCAGTCCTGCATGGGCCTCCGGATGTCTTCGCACATCTGCCTGGCAAATGTCGGAAGAACACGGTGAAGTCCAGGTGAGCTGGCGCCAGAACTTGCAGCACGATGCCACCAACATGCAGAACATGCGTGATAGCTCGGCTTCCAGATGCTTCATGGGATGGCTTCCCGGTACAGTATCAAACGCATCCTTGGCCTCAGCACGTCGAAGGATCCGGTTCCAAGCCCCTGCACCAGCATTGAGGATTCGGGCATTGAGGATTTCAATGTGTCAATCCTGCAATTCACACACCCCAGCTATAAAGGCGTTGTAGAGGTCGCGGATCCCAGCCGTGGCACAATACTAAGCATATTTCGCTGTAGCTCCCCTTGAAATTGAGGATCAAGGGACATCTGAAGCAGGGCGACACAGAGGTAATCATATCAACAATCATAAACTGCATTACAGTCAAGGGAGCCTCACGGTATTTATGCATTGGCAGCTCCGAAGAACCATCAGGGAAAGCAAATCGAAAGCTTCCAACAGTGCCGCCTACAAAACTACTCATAATCCCATTCCTCTAACGCAGTTCCGCCCTCGAATAGTTCGGAGAAATGCCTCGAGCTGGGACATCGAGCGATCAGTGCTGCGAATGACATCGCCTGCGGGGGAGTCGCTGAGGGATTTGTGTTGACAGCTTCGGGTTCGATTTTGCTGGCTTTTGGGTGCGTCAGGTTTACGGCTTGGGTTGTGGGATGAAGTAGATGCCTAGCGCAATCAACCAGGTCTTACAAGGGACTTGGATCGGCTGGTTTTAACGTAGGTACTGGGAACCTTCACACTCATACGGGGTTTGGAATGTACGGGCTCCGGGTTTGGGGCTGTTGGGGTACGTCTTGGTCAGCGGAGCTGCATCATGCTGTCGACTCAGGAAAGACTCTCCCGCTCGCAAGCCTTTGGCCATGGACCCGACAAGTACTTGGAGGATCATGGGACTTAGTAAGTAAGGTTATAAGTACCCTAATTGGGGTTTTCATTATAGTTACCTTGTTTATAACCCTTGTTACTAAGTCCCATGATCCTCCAAGTAGGGTTCGGGGCGTTTTTGGTTTGAGGGATTTTGGGCTCCAGGGCTTCAAGGCCTTCGAGCCTCCAGAGTCTAGGGTGGGCTTCAGGGCTCTGGGGTTTTTTACGGGTTTTTAAGGGATGTTTTGGGCCTGGGTTTCAGGTCTTAGAGGATGTTGAGGGCGTTTAGAAATTCAGGCGTCCAACCTCTGGCAAGATAGGTCTCAGTCCCCCGCGGACGTGCACTGGATTTCGCAGTGCTTCCGTCGCCTGCAAGAGCGAGAGAGCCCAACTTACCCCTTAAGGAATATGCCTTCTTAAACGGCCTTTCTTGGAAAGGAGTTGAACGAATTACCCAGAGAGCCCAATACCCCTTAGTTAAGGAATATACTTTAAACCGTAATATTAAGGCCCCTATAATTCAAGGTCTATTCGAGGTATTGGGCTCTCATGGGATTGGTCCAGGGATGTCCGGGGTTGAAGTTCTTCGGCTCACGGGGTGCAGGGCGCGCCCCTCTTTGGCTTACTTGGAGGATCATGGGACTTAGTAAGTAGGGTTATAAGTACCCTAATTGGGGTTATAATTATAGTTGCCTCATTTATAGCCCTAGTTACTAAGTCCCATGATCCTCCAAGTAGGGGCGTCAGGTTCCATGATGGATGCCACGCAGGGCGGCTTTGTAACGTTGAGCCAACCGCCTCTGCAAATCACATGATAGGCGTTGAGCCTACAACGAATGTTACAAATGCCATCAGGGTTCCTACTTTCTGTCTTCATTTCCGGTAGGACGCCTCAGCCTGAAGTGATGTGACGGTGTAGGGTTTAGGGTTTAGATTTAGGGTTTAGAGTTTAGGATTTAGGGTTTAGGGTTTAGGGGATTCCGCCTGCTTCATGACCTCTGGGTCGTGGAGCATGAGGTTCAGCTCCGGGCAGGTCTCCAGGAGCTGGCCGGAAACACGCCCATCATGAGCTCTGGTCAGTACCCGAATACTACTTGGAGGATCACGGGACTTAGCAAGTAGGGTTACAAGTACCCTAATTGGGGTTATAATTATAGTTACCTTCTTTATAACCCTAGTTACTAAGTCCCATGATCCTCCAAGTAGTCTCTATATACAATCTAATTGTAGTATGAGACACCCGAAGCCCTGTTCTGATGGAAAAGCCATAGAAAGCAGCATAAACCCTTATGGCGGCAGTTTGCAGGGGTGAAGTCGTGGCAATGAGTGCAATGACACCAGCAATACACGACCATTGCTACCGTCCTCGTCATCCTCATCCTGATCGTCATGATCACCACCACCACCACCAACATCATCACAGGATGTAATGCCAGTGCCACTGTCGAGATTGCGAATAGGGCCTTTCAACAGGGGCGTCCCAAACTCAGACCCAAACCGTTTGCCTCACGACCCTAAGCTGGCTCCGAGCTCACTGGGGTTTCCCTGCCTGAACATTAGGCGTTCCTTTTGGGGAGCTCTTTTGTGAGGCATCCTACCACTGAGGGTCTCTACGTTTTGGTCCGCTATCTTCTGAAACTCCCATATACTCTATTTTGCAGGCGCTTACCAGTGCAAGGACCATGAAGGACCCTTTCGTGCTCTCGGGGCCTTGGACAGCCTGGGATCCATCTTGAGCAGGCTGCGCATGAAGTCATGATCGTTCAGCAAGCTCTGCATAGCCGGCGACTGGCAGGGCATAAAGCAAGATTCTTTGAATTGACAACTATGCCGACAACATGAGACGAACCCATTCAGACCTTGGTTTGCCTGCGCACTCCAAAACAACCTCTAGCCAGCCCTTGATAGATCTAAATTCGTTATAGGCCTACACTTGGGGCGTGCGCAGCCATACCATACTTGAAGGATCATGGGACTTAGTAACTAGGGTTATAAATACGGTAACTGTAATTATAACCCCAATTAGGGTACTTATAACCTTACTTACTAAGTCCCATGATCCTCCAAGTACCATGCAAACCCCCAGCCCTCGGGCTCCTCGAGCATTTGCTGCAGGATGTCGGGGTTCTGCAGAACGTGCCGCCTCCGTGCGAGAACCCTGGGATCCAAACAAGAAATGGGGATCCCAGAAGCGATCACCCTACTTGCAGGATCATGGGACTTAGTAAGTAAGGCTATAAGTACCCTAATTGGGGTTATAATTATAGTTACCCTATTTATAACCCTACTTACGAAGTCCCATGATCCTCCAAGTAAACCCTAAACCCTAAACCCTAAACCCTAAACCCTAAACCCTAAAACCCTAAACTAAACCCTAAAGCCCTCAGTCCGGGGCTGGAGGGCTCCCAGCTGCGGAGGCATCTGGCTGATGTCGACACCCGATGGGCCCTGCAGATCAAGGCCGAAGCAAGACACGAAAGGCCCTTTAAAATAGGGGCCTAAATAAGAACCTATACTGTTTTGGGGGTTCCTTATTATAACTACTGATACTAGTTTGGGGGCTGCTTATTATAATTATAGTATCATGGGCCCCAAAACCCTATTCGAATTATTTAGGCCCCTATTGTATGTATCTGCGACAGTAGACGGGCGCACATCGCCGCCACCCTGCTGTCCGTGAAGCCTTGAGAAATCAGGAAGTGAAACTTCTTGCTCGGGTACTTGGAGGATCATGGGACTTAGTAAGTAGGGTTATAAGTACCCTAATTGGGGTTATAATTATAGTTACCTTATTTATAACCCTAGTTACTAAGTCCCATGATCCTCCAAGTATCATCGCAGATCCCCGTCCTGCAGACACGCGAGCCTGAGGCCTTGGCAGATGGATCGTGCTGTTCCGGTCTACGCCGTAGGCTTCCAGAGTTCTGCCATCCTCTGGGTGGCAAGTCGCAGAGGGCAGACAAACACAAACTCTGGGTTTAGGGTTTAGGGTTTAGGGTTTAGGGTTTAGGGTTTAGGGGCGATTCGCTCCTGAAGCAGCCGACCAGCGAAAACTAATCGTTGTCGGTGACGCTTGATGCCACACCTCCGGGTTACGTGTTTCGGGGGATCCTGGGATAGGGCTTTCAAGCTCCAGGCAGCAGTTCCGCAGGCTGAGCCGCTCACTTTGGTGCCAAAATGGATCTGAACTCCTGGCACATTCTACCCGCCTAGCTCGAATGATGCACACGACTTCGCGTAGCAGACCTCTATTCTTGTCTTGAGGTCGACATCGAGATGGACCTGAATTATCTCCACTGATGGAGAGGCTCTGGCAGAAATCTTTGCGCTGGCAACCAAGGCCCATTATTTGGACAGCTTGAATCATTCACATCAATGTCACAATTACAAACAAATATCCACCATGATTTTACTTCTGCAAAATCTGAAAAAACAAATTTAATAATGGGCCCGGTGGTAGCTGAGCTCTTTCACGAGGCTTCCGTCAGGTAGCTTGACGGTGATGAAGGCGACAGGCCTGGACCCACGGCATAGCAAAGAGAACTCTTCACCTTGGAACCTGCAACCTTAAACCGCGTGATATTCAGCATCAACTGTGCCCCAGACATGGTTGCGCCGATGCCACTGCCCTAACTGGCTGCGGCAGGCCGAAATGCTGCAGAACATAATGAGAATGGCAGTGTCAGAACCGTGTGGAGTAAGAACAATAGTGATAGCCACAGCTGCACTATGATCATTGTCATCCTAATCGCAATCAACATCATGAAGCCCTGGACATTCTTAGGCTTCAGACGGGTTGCGAACATCAGAGAGCTTCTCATCATCAAGTGCACATGAGACATGGGCTGCATTCTAGAGAAGCACGGCGGGAGAGCAAGAAACGAGGCAGAAAAAACCCAAGATGAATAAGCAATGGAGTTTGTTGTCAACTTATGCTTCCCCTCGGTCCATCATTTTCATCAACTACCATTCTACAAACCAAACACCCTGAAGGAAGCTTCCGGGATGAAGCCGGCTCCACACCAATCCAAACCCCCCCCTCCCAGTGACCACAAGTAGCCCTGAAACCCCTTAGGCCCTGAAGGCCTTGGAAGCCCTAATGCCCCAAAGCCCACAAGGCATCTGCATCTGCGCTGGCACAGCACTTCCGGGGAGCAGTGTGCCCTAAACCCTAAACCCTAAACCCTAAACCCTAAACCCTAAACCCCAAACCCTAAACCCTAAACCCTAAACCCTAAACCCTAGCTCTTTCCCCGCCAAGGAAAGAGCCGAGGCTGGAGGGAGCGACTTCGCGCTTTCAGGGTTTAGGGCTTTTTGGGCTTTAGGGTTCTACGGCTTAGGCGTTGAGGGTTTTAGGGGGTTGAAGCTGGGATTTAGGGTTGCAGGGTTTAGGACTTCAGGGCTCTTTTGGAGGCTTTTGGGGTTCGGATTGGCGCAGAAGTCGGGGTCAATCCATCTCGTCGAGGAAGCCATCGCTGACCTTGAGCATCTCTTTAAGGGTTTCAGGATTTAGGGTTTAGATTTAGGCTTCTTCGCTTCTGGGCACTGAGACACCCCCGAAAAGCCCAGAGCCTTGACGAGCCTGGGCCCGCGCGCCTTGTTTTGTGGTATGGTGTATTATAGCTGTACTACACTACACTATACAATACATGTACTATACTATACTTCTGTGTTATCCGGAGTGGGCACGTTTCGGCCAAGAGTTGTTCAAATATGACTTCAGACTCAAACTGTAGCCACAAATGAAGCACAACACCTGTCCCAAATCATGTCAAGATTTCGCCTGGCTCTTGGAAACACGACCATCTTCTCCCCAACAAGTAACGGACATACCTGCCTTCAAACCCTCTAAGGCCCAATTCACCCCAAATTCACGGGGGCGGCAAACAGCGTCACAACAGGGGATCCTTGTTGAAGTCCGCCAGGAGTCTCGGGCCAAAAACATAAAGCGAACTTTCAGTAACATATACACTAAGTCACTAAAGTGTAGGGATCCTATGACAGGGTGCCGCCGAAAGAAGCCGGGATCCCTGCTTGCTGCACCACACAAAGCCTCGCTAGACTGCGCTCCGGAGCTTCGAACCCCCTCTTGTTCGGGCTTGGGGCGGATTTGGGGGTTCAGGGATTCAGAGTCTGCTGAGCCTCGCAGTAAACCACGAACGTTCTCAAACGCGTGCACTCTACTGAACCCCAAACCAAACTCTCTCTTCCCTACATTACCTTGACACCCACACCCCAAGACTAAGCCCCATTGGTGCGTTCTACAGGGTGTTATCACGATAGAAGAAAGCTTTGTATGAGATGCAGGCTTCTCCTGGTGTCCAGGTTCGTTTTGGGCTTGAGGTTAAGGGGTTGAGGGCTCGACTGACTCCGGGGCTTCAGCTTTCCGATAGTTTGCGGTTTTGCAGCTCCTGGGTCAGTGGTTCAGGGGGTCAGGTTGTCTTCAGGGTTTAGGGCCTCGGGCTTCACTTCAATTCCATGGGCTCGGGTAACGTAGATCATGCCTTGGGGTTGGCACTACTTGGAGGATCATGGGACTTAGTAAGTAAGGTTATAAGTACCCTAATTCGGGTTATAATTATAGTTACCATATTT